GATGGATGGGTGGATGGATGGGTGGATGGATGGGTGGATGGATGGATGGGTGGATGGATGGGTGGATGGATGGATGGTTGGATGGATGGTTGGATGGGTGGGTGTATGGGTGGGTGTATGGGTTGATGGAGAGGTTGACACCGAACTGGTCACCCACAACATTCAGGGCACAGGCCCCAACATGTCCCTGGACAGCTCTAGGTGAGGCAGGAGTTTCAGGGAGCCCAGAGTCCCCCCAAGTTTCCCCCCTAGTGGCTTCGCCGTCCCCAGCCCTCTCCATCTTTGTGCCCCCACCGGTCCCCGGCTCCACGGCCGCCGTCTCCTCCCCTTCATGGCCCATGCTGGGACCCACCGCAGACAAATCAGTGGAAAATTCAAATGGTTCCTGGGCTGCTATCAGCCTCCCAGCTGGGCCGCTTAATGACCGCTTCCCGGGGATTGCTACCAGCTGGAGCGGCTGGGCGGGGTCAGCGCGGAGCCACCTTCCCTCTGTGGGGCAGGGTCCTTGGCGTCGATTGAGAAACGCGGCTAAGTCATCAGGGGAAGTGTTGGGGTGCGGGAGCCACGGGCCAAACAGAGGTGTCTGTGAGCTCCCAGGCGGCGCCCCGCCTGCCATCCCTGCCCTGTGTAACTGCGGCCCCAGGGCCTTTGCGCCGCACGACGCCGCCCCCACAGCGTCCTCTCTCCCCCGGTGCAGCCATCTGCTGCCAGCGTACCCTGCAGCTCTGAGGGCCATTGTCGCCCCCTCCCGGACTGCTCACCCTGGGCCACTGCGGCCCTCCAGCCACCCCCAGTCACCGCACTGTCCGTGGGGGCGCTGAGGACGGGGCCTGCCTTGCTGTTCCTGGCTGTGTGTCCCTGGGCGAGGCGCTCGCCCTTTCTGTGCCGCATGGTTGTCAGGTGGAGACAGGGATTGGGAATCCTTTGCTGGTGAGGCTGCAGGAGGAGTCGGTGGAGGCCGAGCTCCAGGTGAATCACCTGTCCTGCCCGCAGCGGCCACCAGAGGGCGCTGTGAGCGCTGAGTTCAGTCCTCCCTCCCGCCCTCAGCCCTGCACACCCCCAGCTCCCTAGGGAAGCCTCTGAAGTCCTCCTGCAGCCTGCAGGGCCCTGCACAACCCGCCTGTCCCCTCTCTGCCTCCCCTGCTCCCTCTCCGCCCCTCAGGTCCAGCCACACGGACTCCTCTCTGCTTCTGCTGCCCCAGGGCCTTTGCATGGGCTGAGCAGCTGCCTGGGATGTTGTTCCACCTCTGCTGGGCCCAAATGGCTTTGTGTCACCCGTCCGTCCTCAGCTCGGATGGCAGCGAGGCCACAAACTTCCCCTGACTGACCAAAGCCAGTTCCCCTCTGTTCTGTCTCTGTCCCTTCTCAGTTCTGCTAGTAAACAAGTGTGTGTGACGTTACACCCTGCGGGTTGTGTGGGTGCCTCTGCGCCCCTACTCAGCTGCTGCGCAGCCGCAGAGGACACGGCAGGTGCCAAATCAGTGCTCATGGAATCGCCGGGATAAGCCTGGCGGAGTGGCACACACCTGACATCCTAGCCAGGAGGCTGAGGCAGGAGGATCCAGGTCAGCCTGGACAACTTAGATGTTTAGCGAGACCCTGTCTCCAAATAAAGAATAAAAAGCACGGCTGGGGGTGGAGCTCAAACCGAGCTTGAGCCTGAGACCCTCCTGCCTCAGCCTTCCTGAGGGCGGCCTTGTTTCTCATGACCAGGCCGGGCTCGGTGTGTTCGTGTCCTCCAGTCTGGGTGTGTTGAGCGTGTTCTCGTGCTTTCCCTGGATTTCTGGGCTTGGGGAGCACGCACAGAGAGGCCCCCCCTCCTGGATCCCTCGGGGGACTGAGACCGCGCGGGTCACCTTGATGTTGATTTTGGCCACCAGGCGGCGACAGAGTCCTCCAGAGTCTGGTTATAAAGCAGGACGCACCCTGAGGTGAAGAATTCAAACCCCACTGCGGAGAGGAGGGAGAGAGAATTCCCAGGGACCATTTGAAATTGTTTCTTTCTCTCTGTCTTCCTGAGGCAGGTTCTGTCTGTGTATGTAGCTCAGGCAGGCCTCGGGCTCAAGCGACCCTCCTGCCTCGGCCTCCTGACGGCTGGGATTGCGGGCGTGCACCACCAGGCCGGCTGGAGAAAGCTTCTGTGTGTGTGTGTGTGTGTGTGTGTGTGTGTGTGTGTGCAAGAAAGCATTTTCTACTGTATTATCTATTTCATAATTTATTCTCGTCGTCAGTCTGGACTTGTAGCTACAAATGACACACGTTAGCTTATAATCTCATAATGCAATATTAATTTTTCCCCTAAGTTTGCAGCTTGGCCTGTGACAGCTGTCTCAAGGGTGGCTGGACAGTTTCGCAGGTATCTGAGGGGAGTTTACGCTGTTTCCCTGTGACAGATCATGCACCAATATGTATCAGGAAAAGGTGAGCGGTCTCCATGTCCAGTTACAGCTGCACATCAAGGCAAGCTCCAGACATGAAACACTAGAGGAGGACTAGGAGGCCGGGCTGCCGGGACACGCATGGCTCCAGCTACGTGGAGGCTGACACGGGAGGTTTCCAGGCCCAGCCCGGCCCTTGTCCCAGAATTTACAAATCAAACAAAAGAGTCAGAGATGCCACTCAGTGTCACAGCGCTTGCCCAGCGTCGCTCGCTGTTACTGCAAAAGAAAGAAACAAAGCGCAGAGACCCCGTAGAAGACATTTCTAATTTCAGACTAAGCAGGCACCAAGCTCACTTGCCATAAAAGAGGCATAAATTTCATGACGTGAAATTAATTTCTTTCTGCGTGACAAAAGTAAACACTCCCACAGATGTTAAGAACTATTTGTAACACACTTACAAAGATTTTTCCAGACAATGTCTCTGTGAAGAGCGCTCACAAATTAATAAGCAAAGAGCAACTGAAAACAGTGTGCAGAGTCATCACAGCCTGTCACAGAGGGGACCCGAGGGATGAAAGTGGCTTTTAAAAAGCTAAGAAGTGCTGTGAACCCTCATGCAAAGGAAAAGCGATTCACACTGAAGCCGCAGCGCCTGGCGATGGTTCAGGCCGCAGCTTCGGACTGAGCTGCCCCGTCCCGGCCGCACTCGAGGCTGAGGCAGGACAGTCGCCAGCTCGAGCCCAGCGCGGCCACCCAGCGAGGTCCTGGCTGCACACAGAACCGGGGCGGGCGGCGGGGGGCTGCTGAGGGCCTGGGGGTCCTGCGGGCGGCGGGGGGCTGCTGAGGGCCTGGGGGTCCTGCGGGCGGCGGGGGGCTGCTGAGGGCCTGGGGGTCCTGCGGGCGGCGGGGGGCTGCTGAGGGCCTGGGGGTCCTGCGGGCGCCGGCTGGGCTGAGCTGCCGCTAGGCGCCGCCAGGGGGCAGCACGTTCCCGCCACGGCCTCCACCTCCACCTGCCGGAGCCGGCTGTCTGCTCCGTCTGTCCGTCTGCCCGTTCGGTTTTCCTGTGCATTTCCTGCCGCGCTGTCCTGCGTCCGTGCGTGCTTTTGTCAGCCACAGGGCCCCCCGCGTGGGTCTGCGCGGCCTCGCACCCCGCGGAGCCCCAGCTGGCCTCCGGCTCCTGGGGTCCTCCTGCCTCGGCCTCCCGAGCCAGCCTTTGACTGCTGACTTGGCTGTGCGTGTGCGCCCGGCCGGCTGGAAGGGTGTCGGAAAACTTGTAAAGTGACAGGGAGCTGGATGGGCAGGTGCCCGCGGTTTCCATAGCAACCACTGCACCTCGTCCTAGCAGCCGGGCGGCCCGGGGTGAAATGAGAGGGCGTGGCTGTGTGCCAATAAAACTTTATTTATAAAAATAAGTGACCATCTGTTATCAGCGTTCCCAGACTAGTGAGGTGTGCACACGTGCGTGTGACAAGACAGAGAGAGAGACGGGGGTGGGGGCCTGCGGAGGAAAGTGGGAAATAGAAGCAAGAGTTTGTATGCTCCAGTCTCAAGGCGGAACTCTGGGACCCTCAGCTTTTACCTTGAGCGCCTTCAACTGATTTGGGGAGGCCCACCCCTTCCGCCGGGGTCAGCTTCACTTAGTGAGCTGTCGAACTTTTTTGCTTATTTTATTTGGTCTTTTTTTTTTTTGGTCTTTTTTTAGGCAGGGTCTCCTATGCAGCTCAGGCTGGCCTTAGCTCACTGTGTAGCCCAGGCTGGTCTCGAACTCACAATGATCCTCCTGCCTCAGCCTCCTGAGTGCTGGGATGACAGACGTGTGCCACCACACCTGGCTTTTATTTCCTCATTGTCCCAGAGGGTGAAAGCCCAAACTAAACAGTGGGCAGGCCCTGCTGCTTGGTGACAGATGTTGTCTCTGTGTTCCCATATCCTGCCTTTGTGTGCACCCCAGAGTCCCCTTTTGAACCAGGAAACTACTCCTACTGGGCCGGGGCCCTCCCCGGGAGCTGTCATTTTAACTTAACTATTTCTGTCCACGCTGAGGGGACTAGGCCCTCACCATATGAATTGATGCGGGACACACACAGTTCTTCAAGCCATAGCCCTGATTATGAATGTGGGGTTATTTTTCATTGCTGTATAATATTCTACCGCCTCACCTCATTCTGTGGCCCAGGCTGTCCTGGAACTCATGGAGATCCTCCTGCACCGGCCTCCCGAGTGCTGGGGTGGCAGGTATCCACCACCACAGCTGGCTGGAGTGAAGCTGTTAAGCATTTTTGTCAGTCCATGTTTGTGATAAGTAATAATAAATTCACTGTGGGGAATTGGTACGTACACATCAAAACTTTACCCCCTTCCCGTCTCCTCCCCTCTCTCCTGTCTCCCCCGTCCCTGGACCCCCGTCCCTTCTCCATAAAGTACCTCCGCATTTCCTGTCACCTGTCTTTGATTTTGTCCTTCAGATTATTTATATTTTGCCTGTCTTGTGTGAGAGAGACCATGAGATATTTTTATTTCTTTCTTGTATGGATACCGGCACTGAACTCACAACCTCATCCTTACCAGGCAGAGTGCTTGAGCTGCTGCGCTGAATCCCCAGCCCAAATCACGAGACATTTAGCCCTCTGTGTCAGATTTATTTTACTGGCCATTATGGTCTCCAGGCGCATCCGTTTTTTCTACAAATGACCCAAGGCCCCCTTCTTCCTGGCAGAGTAGTACTCCAGCGTGACTCAGTGCCAAGCTGTATTTAACCCTTCCCTCCCCAGGAGCATTGCTTTGTTTTTTCTCTCCCTTTATCTACAGCAAAATTCAGCAAACTTTTTCTATAAAGAGGAGATGATGGATGTTTTGGGCTTGGAGGGACCATGTCCATCGAGTCCATTGCAGAAGTCACCCTAGACAACATGCTGTGAGTGAGCATGACTGTGTGCCAATAAAGCTTTATTTATAAAGGCAGGTGTGAGCCAGATCGGACCCCTGGCCCTGGGTATAGATATTTATCCAGTTCCTCCTAGGTGCTGAGCCCTGTTCCAGAGCCTGGGAACACAGTGGCCAGGACAGTGGTACAGTTATGCAAAGCAATGTGGTCACTTCCGACCACGATGAAGGTGCGAATCCAAACCCAGAATGGCAGGAAATGGCAGAAGGCATCGGAATGATGAGAAGAAACTGGCCTTGAGGATAGCAGGGAACAGTTTCTGGCAAAGAGCACAGCCATGCAAAGGCCCTGGGGCACCACAGGACTCCAGCAGTGAAAGGGGCAGAGAGAGGAGAGGGTGCTGGGAGGGGATGGCAGGGCCCTGTGGACTGCAGGGAGGAAAGTGAAAGGCAGAAGGGGATTGAATTCCAGGGCAGCCTGGACTATACAATGAGGTTGTTCAGTGGAATATTATACAGAAATGAAAAATAAACACCCATATTCATAATCAGGGTTATGGCTTGAAGGATTGTGTCCCTCATAAATTCTAGGTACCCCTCCAAAAAAAAGGGGACTTGGGATTTAGCTCAGTGGCATAAGCACCTGCCTTGCAAGCAGCCTCGTGAGTTCGATCCCCGGTACCGATAAAAAAAAAAATTCTAGGTATCCCCAAATAAAAGAGGAAAGCACAGAGGGAAATGATGCCTCTCCTTGGTCCTGGAGCTGAGCGATGCCGGTGGGCAGAAGCAGCTGGCAGCGGTGCAGCCACGGCGCCAACCTCCCAGGTGCTCACATGCCGTCCCCAGCCTGGGTGATAAAACCCAGTGACCCTAGGGGACGTGAAGGGCATGTGGGAGAAGAACCGAGGTGCCCAGGTGCCCCGCGTGTGTCCCCAGGTCCAGGGCTCAGAGACACTGGCAGCTGGAAGCAGCTGATCAGCGACTCCCACAGCAGCCTCTGCCACCAGGGGGCGCCATGTTCTACTCTCAGCCCTGTGACTTTTTGTCAAGGTGACTCTGCCTCAATCTACCCCTCTGAGAAATGGGAACCATAAAACCGGCTCATTCTGCCCAAAAGCTGTGAAAAAAAAAAAAAAGGTCCACCACACACAGCGCCTGGGCGGTCACTCAGTACACACACAGCCCCGCTGTCCCTTCTCTGGACACCTGCGTGGGGGACGCCAGCAACCTGCCCTCTGTGCTGGGGTCCCGGATAGGGGAGCCTGGTTGGGGATGCAACCGGTGAGTCCACCGCTCCCTGAGACTGAGGCAGGAGGATCTCCACTTGAGCTCAGCCTGGGCAGCTTAATGAGGCCCTGTCTCAAAATAAAAAAATTTAAAAGGCTGGGGATGGAGCCCAGTGCGAAGCCATGGGTTCGCTCCTCAGGCACCCACACCCCCATTTATTTATATTTTATATTATTATTTTTTTGGACTTTTTGAGGCCGGGTCTCGCTGTGCAGTCGAGGCTGTTCTTGAACTCGCAGCGACCCTCCTGCCTCGGCCTCCCGAGTGCTGGGATGACAGTCATGAGCCACCACGCCCGGCTACTGTGCATCTAGTTTAAAAATGGGGAGGGGGCACCCCAGACGATGCCCCCCTTTGAGCCGCGCGATGGCATCACACTGGGCACCTGTCTTGCTGCCGGGGTGCCCGCCCGTGTCCCCGACCCCGGGCTCCCTCTGTGCCCCGGGATGGCTGGTGGGCTCGGGGTGCAGGCCACTCCCCGCCTCGCAGAGGCCACAGCGCTGCCGGAAGTCACAGTGCCAACGACCGCGTGTAACCGACTTCCTGCCGTTACCCACCGCCCGGCTGTGCGCCCCCCGCTCCGGGCAGCCCTCTCTGGTCTCCGCTGCCGGGCCGGTCGGTCTTGGCCACTTAGTGTCTCAGGAACAAAACTTGCAGCGGGGCGCAGGCCTGTGCGCTCAGCCCTGGGGAGGCCGAGGCAGGAGGGTCGCTGACTCCCGCCAGCCTGCCCTGCACAGCAAGCTCAAGGCCGGCCTGAGCCGCTGCTCAAAAAGACAAAACTAACAAACTAAACACTGCAAAGGGCTGGGCTGGGGCTCAGGGTGGGGACCCCGAGTTAATCTCCGGCACTGCGGGGGGGGGGAGTCCACTTTATAAATGGGGAAACTGAGGCCCAGAAGAGAAGCAATCCATTTGGGACCGCACGGCACCCCAGGAGCTGCTCGGCCTGCAGGATATTCTAACGGGGACCCCGCAGGCAGCCCTGCCCACCCCGACGGTCCCGTGCCCCCCCAGAGGCCTGTGCCTCAGTTTCTCCGCAGCAGGGACACGCGCGGGGGAGATGCTTGCGGCGGTTTGGAGGAGGCCGGCGGGGCAGGCGCAGGGCGTGGCGTGCACGGGCAGCTCCCGGCTCCGGGTGGCACCTGGGCTCCCGCCCAGGGCGCCCGTGCCAGGCCCACCGGGCACAGGAGGGGCCGAGCTGGGTCCGGGGCCAGAGCTTCGCCCAGCGAGCGCTCAGTGCAGTGAGGCCAGGACCCGGCTCGGGGCTTTCTGCATGTGCAGGGCGTCTAAGGGGTCAGCGGCGGCCCCCTGCCGGCCTCAGTTCCCCTGACACAGCTGGGCGTGGTGGCACACGGCGGTCATCCCAGTGCTCGGGAAGCTGAGGCGGGAGGATCGCTGCAAGCTGGTGGCCAGCCGGGGCTCTGTAGCCAGACTCAAAAAACCAAAAATATAGAATGAAAACAGAAATCGCTGGTCACGACAGGAAATGTCCAGGAGGGAGTGAAACTGGATTCCTTTCCTCCTCCGCAGAGCCAAGGCTTGGCAGCGCTCCCAGTTGTCTGTCTGGTCTTGGTCTCTCTTTCCAGGAGGGGGACCGGGTGGCCGCGGGCTGCCTGTGTGACTTTGAACCTCAGTCTGCACATCTGTAAAATGGGCCCCATCAGGACTTGTGGGATTAGACTGACACACCTGTGGCTGGCATGCAGCAGTTGCACAATCAGATTGTTATGGTCACCTTGTCCCAAAGCTGTCATTAGGACCCATGAGGGCTGTCTGTAAGGTCTCGGCCTGCAGTAGCAGGTGGGAAAATGTTTGTTGAGTGAGTAAACAAGTTTTTTGAATGAATAACAACAATTGTGCACACTGTAGAATGCAAAGCGCATCCACAGTCCTCACACCAGGCACCGGCAGCAGACCCCACCCTCCAGCAGTGACAGCCAAATACGTCCCTAGACAGAACCTCGTGTCCCGTGGGGGAGAAAAACATCCCTAACGTACTTAACATTCGAAGTTCCGGTTTATCACAAGAGAGGATTGAAGCTCAGAGCGGGGCCTGCCCGGTCACACAGCGCAGGGAGGCGGAGCCAGCAGGGCAGGTGCTGAGCACACCTGGGCAGAGGTGGGCAGGCCGCACCGCTGCTGTGCCAGGGCTCCTGGAACTTGGCAGAAGGGCCAGGGCGAGCCACGGTTGCAAAACGGCCAGGCAGCATGCCTGGGCAGTGGCCGCCGCCTGAGCCCCGCGGGCACTGCTGGGAAACTCAGCAAAGCAGCTGGGAACCGGGCACCAGGATAGAGGATGGAGTCCCAGGACAGGGGGCGGAAGGAAGGGCCAATCAGAGACACTGCCTCGTAGCGTGGGAAGGAAGGAGCCTATCAGAGACACTGTCTGGTAGAGTGGGAAGAAAGGGCCAATCAAAGACAATCTCATAGTGTAGGAAGGAAGGGCCAATCAGAGACAGTGTCTTGTAGTGTGTGGGAAGGAATCACCAATCAGAGACCCTGCCTCGTAGTATGGGAAGGAAGGACTAATCAGAGACACCGTCTTGTAGTGTGTGAGAAGGAAGGACCAATCAGAGACACTGTCTCGTAGAGTAGGAAGGAAGGGCCAATCAGAGACAATCTCATAGTGTACAAAGGAAGGGCCAATCAGAGACACTGCCTCGTAGTGTGGAAGGAAGGAGCCTATCAGAGATTCTACCTTGGAGCCTGGAAGGAGGACCAGTCAAGACTGCATCTTGTGGATGGAAGGGCCAATCAGAGATGGTCTTTTCAGTCTAGAAGAAAGGGCCAATCGGAGACAGCACCCTCTTGCCTGGCCTATCGAAAGAGCACGGGATGTGTCCCGGTCAATGAGAATGTCCCAGTGAGTGACACTAACAGGCAAAGCCCACTGGTTCCAATGGCAAGGCAAGTCGGTCCCTCTGGTCTCAGAGCTGATGGCTCTGGATGTCACAGCCGGGGTTCTGCAGCTCTTCCCGAAGCCCAGGCCTAAGGGTTGGCTTGGCGGAACTCACTGCTCCCATGTATGCCCTCAGGAAATCATTAGTATGTCCCAGCCAGAGTTACAGCTAAAAAGTTCATTACCTCGCTCACTAAACATTTACTAAGCTCCTCCTGCATGCTAGATCCAGGATGTTAAGTTGAATGAGGCAAATATTTTTTAAAAAGCTCAGTGAAAGACTGAGGAATGCAGAGGGCCGGGCTGTGCAAAGGCCCTGGGGCAGCTTGGAACCTGGCCTAATGTAGGAATAGCGAGAAGCAGCCCATGTGGCTGGAGCAGAGGAAGAACGGGCAGAGAGGGAAGAGGGGAGGAGAGGAGCGGACAAGCAGGCCGTGCAGGGATGACTTTGTCATTCTGAGAGCAATGGGGAGCCATGGAAGGCTGTGGGCAGGGGAGATGTAAAATGTCACCTACAGACTGGGATTTGTGCAAAGTCCTTCCTTCTGAGCCCCAATCTCCTATCAAGTGGGGGTGGCAGTGCCTTCCTGGAGCGCTGACACCGATAAGAAAAATGCTGAGCTGGGCATGTGGTGCACTCCTATGATGCCAGCACTCGGGAGGCTGAGCAGGAGGATCCCAAGTTCAAAGCCAGACAGACTTGGTACCTAAGGCATTTAGTGAGACCCTGTCTCAAAATAAAAAGGCACTTGGGAGGCTGAGGCAGGAGGATCGCTGTGAGTTCGACATCAGCCTGAGCTACACAATGAACTCTTATTTAAAAAATCCAAAATAAATTAATAATTTAATTAATGAATTAAAAAGGGCTGGCATGGAGCTCAGTGTAAAGTCCCAGGGTTCCACACTCCAAATGTCAGGGAGGGGTGTGTGTGCGGGTCAGTAAGGAATGAGCATCAGGGATGTGCAAAGGCCCTGGGGTCAGAGCCAGGGTGGCCCGCTGGACATCTGACCTGCCCGTTTCTGCAGTCTCCTACTTCTGCACTGGGCTTCAGGGACAGCTCAGGAGCCGGCCCTGGGGCCATGACCCTGGCACGTCTGGCCACACCAGCTAACCCCCTGGGTGACCCTGGGCTAACATATTCTCCCCCTGAGGCTCCATCTATCAAGCAAGCTAATAAGGCCTCCCCGCCCCAGCCCGCCAGAGCTGGGCCTGCTGCCACGAGCTGGGATAATGGCCGGAAAGGCTGCCCACACACAGCTGTTCCCAGGGCCTGGGGCCATCTGTGACCTCAATTTCCTCATCTATAAAATGGGCCTGTTAATGAGGCCTGCAGCCGCTGTGGGCCTTTCTGGACCTCCAGATGACTTGCGGTTGTCTGGAACCTGAGCAGGCGGCCAGGTAGCTCTGGGTGTGAACCCTCACCCCCCAGCCTCAGAGACAACCGCTTCTCCTGGGCCGTTAATCCTAGTGCTACGGGAGGCTGAGGCAGGAGGGTGGAAAATTTAACCCAGCCTGAGCCATTTGACCACATAGCAAGACCCTGTCTCAAAAAATAAATACATAAATAAATAATAAGAAATTAAATTAAATTAAAAAGTGCAGGGCAGGGAGTCACAGGCCTGTGTTCCCAGAACTGGGGAGGCAGAGGCAGGAGCATCTCCGAGAGATCAAGGCCAGCCTGCAGTGCTCAGCGTGAGGGCCCAGCGGTGAGAAGGCAGCGGGACAGGACCTGGGGGACCCGAACCCTGCGCAGGTCCCAAGAGGTGCCTGGAGTTGGTGCCACCCCGGCTCCTCCCAGCCAGCTGGCCCTGGCCTGTGGTATCTTCCTTGCAATGGGGGCGCAGGGGTGGACTCCTGCCCAGTGTTGAGGGGCCTGCTGGGCAGCCTGCAGTGACTTTACAGGGAAGGTTGTGAGTCTCAGCTCAGCTTCCTGTGCACCCCAACACTGCACCCTGAACCCCAGTCCTCAGCGGGCTGCCACCCAGCATGCCTGCCCCCCTTCCCTTCTCCGGGTGGGGCACGCAGGGGTTGGAGTTGGGGATTTGCAGAAGTGGCTCAGCGGCCGAGCTGTGCAGAGTGGGGGCCGGGCCCCCTCGCCTCAGGAGAGGCCTCCAGCACCCCTCTGTGCCCAGGAACCTAGAGTCCCTGGGCTCCCCTCTGGCTTGCTTGTTGACCTCAGAGAGATGAATTCCCCTCTCTGAGCCTCACTGAGTTTATTTCTTAAAAACAAAAACCAAAAAGGGGAGGAGGGGTGTGGTAACACATGACTGCAAAACTCGGCTTTTAGGCTGAGGCAGGAGGATCGCTGCAAGGCTGGGCCACAAAGTGAGCTCAAGGCCAGCCTGGACTGCATAGGGAGACCGTGTCTCAAAAAAGCCCAAAAAGCCCAAAACCCAAACCAAGTGGGCAGCAGCACGCACCGCACAGAGACAATCTCAGTCCCCAGAAGGCTGGTGTCCAAGCAGCAGACGCGGTCTGCACGGCTGACCGACGTAGCATGCGGCCGGCTTTTATTGAGCAACTACTACGCCAGGCCGGTGGTCATCACATGCGCTGGACTGCCCAGCGCCCCACATCCATCACATAATCAACTCCCCCGAGTCCCCAGACTCAGGCCTGCCTGGGTCCCCCCACCAGGCCTGGCTCCGCGAAGGGTGCTCTTGTTGCACCCCAGACTTGGGCTTCTCCCGGGGAGAGCCCAGAGTCAGCTCCCCGAGGGGTCTCTCCGAAATCCCTGGTGCCGGGGACCAGGGTCGCAGCAGCAGAAAGAGGGGCGCCAGGGGGCCTCGGTGCAGCAGCACCCCAGCACCCCTACCCCAGAGCGCCAGCAGGCTCGCAGCAGGGAAGGGGGCGGCGCCTGCTCCGCGGGGCGCACTGCGGAAGGCCGCTGGGGGGCTGCGGCAGGTCGTCCCGTGACGGCCCGGCCCACGCGTGACAGCCTGCGGCGGGGTCGGGGCGCTGGCTCCCCCCGCCCGCCCCTCCCCGCGGGGAGGCGGAGACCTGCCGTTTCTGCTGATCGCGCAGGGGGAGGCGGCCTGGTCTGCCTCGGCGCCCTGCGCTGCAGCCTGGAGCCCTTTGGGGACCCCCCGGGGACCCCCGCCCCAGGTCTGTGGCCGTCGGTGTCCCAGTCCGTGTCCCCGTGTGTCCCCTCGTCTGTCCTCGCCCAGACACCTGCCTCCTCCGGGGGTGGGGGAGGGGCCGGGTGGGGGAGGGGCCCGGGGTCGCGCGGAGGTCAAGTCCGGGTCGGAGGTCTCCGCGGGGTCACTCCGGGCCAGTCCCGGCGCCGCCCGCAGGCTGTCACCGCGCGTCCGCCTGGGTGGCATCCTGCGGGAGGCCGAGTCTGCAGTCCCCGCGGGTCCGGGTGCCCCCCGCGGGCTCCCCGGTGCCTGTGCGTGCCCGCCGGGTCCCGGCGGGTGTCCCCGAGTCGCCCGCGTGCGTCCTGCCCCGTGTGCGCGCGCGCGCCGCGCGAAGGTGGCCCGCTCGGTGCGCAGCGGAGCCGGCCGGAGCGGGCCGGGCGCAGGCTGAGCGCCGGCCGGGGCGCGCGGCGGCCCGAGCGCGGCCCCGGGGGAGGCGGGCCGAGGGGAGGGTCCTGGGGGGCGGGCACGGCGCCTCCGCCCCCCCGCGCACCGAGCGCGTCCTCCGGCCTGGCCGCCTCGCCCGCCCGCCCGCCCGCCGCAGCGCCATGGTACGTGGCCCCCCCCACTTTCGATTTCGCCCGGGGACTCCGTGGGGGTGGCGCGTGGGCCCCGAGCGAAAGTTGCCAGGTCCGGGAGTGAGGGGGGGAGGCGGGAGGCGGGGGTCACCCGGGGGAGGGGCTCGAGGCGGGGACCCCCATCCCGCCGGGCTCCCGGGACCCCCCCTTTCCCCTCGCCGATCACCCCCTTTTCCTCCTCCCTCCCGGGCTAGGGGCGGAGCTGGCGCGCGGGGCGCAGCGGAGACCCCGAGTGGGGGGCCCCCCCGGCGGGTGCGGCGGAGTTGGCGGGGAGGGCGGGGCTCCCCAGAAGGTCCCCCCATTTCCTCCGGCCGGTCCCCCGCCCCCGCCACGCCACACGCCGGGCCGGGGGGCGCGCCTCCGGGGGGCGCGACTCCCTCCCCGAGGCGGCAGCCGGATGGGGACCCCCGGGCCGGGGCGGGGCGCGCGGCCGGCGGCGGGGGGCGCTGGGCTCGGCGGGCGCCGGCGGGGAGCGCGGCGCGCAGCTAGCGGAAAATGGCCGCTCGGCGAGGCGGGCGCGCGGCCGGGCGCCGTGAACTCGGGGCCGGGAGGGGGCGCAGCCGGCCCCGCCCCCGCCCCGGGACCCCGCGACCCCCGCCCGGCCCCGCGCGGCTCCGGCCCGGGACGGGCTGGCGGGCTCCCCGGGGGTCCCCGGCGCATCCGGAGCGCGCGGCCGGGGTCGCGCACCCACGTGTGTCGAGTGTCGCGCGTGTGGGCTGAGCCGTGTGCGTGGCTGCGCCCGGGCCGGAGCCGCGCGTCCCGCGGGAGAGCTGCGTCCGCGCCGTGCGTCCCCGGGAGAGCGTGGGGTGCCCCCGCGTGAGTGGGTGACAGGTTTGCGTGTTTCGGGGGTGACACTGTGTCGTGTGGCCGCGGCCGGGGGTCCGGCGAGCTGTCCCCGTGTGCGTGCGACTCCGGGCCGAGCGTCCCTGGGGACCGGCCTGCGGTGACCCCACCTCCCCGCGCCCCCCAGTCCTCCTCCCGTGACCGGGGCCGGCGGGGGGCGCCTCGGCCTCTGCACAGCGCTGTCCCCGTCCCCCACCGCACCCCCAGGCCTTTTCCTCCACCCAGCCTGGCTGTCTCCCGTCAGCGGGTCCCGGCTGGGCGCGAGGTGGCGCCGGGACGCGGTCACCCGGGGCTGCGCGTGCGCGGCGACCTGCCGGGCTGGGCGGGGCGCGGGGTTCCCCCTCCCTCTGCGGCCCCCGGAGCTCCCCGAGGGCAGGGGGCGGCCTGGAGGCTGAGCGCTGGCCTGGGCTGGGCCGAAGGGGTGACCGAGGAGACCCCGGAGATCCCCCTTGGCCCGGGGACCCGCGTGGCACCGGCGCGCTCCCAGCCCGGCCCGGGTGGCCCAGACGGGGCGGGCGCTCGAGCTGTTTTGTCGCCTCTGGGGGAATCCCCGCCGCGCCCCGCCCCCACTGCTGCCCGTTTTTTTATGTAATTTTCTAAATATAAAAGCTGCGCGGCCAGGCCCGAGGCGCGGCGTTAAATTCCCGGCCGCTTGGGGGGTTGCTGTTTGGAAAGGGGACAAAAACTGGTGCCGCAAGAGCACCCAGACATGTGACCGCCGCACCTGCGCGGGCTCCGGAGTCCCACGCGCACCTCGGCTGCGACAGACGTCTCGGGTCCCACGACACTCCCCTGGGGGGGACCGCAGAGCCCGGGAGTCGCCCTCGCGGTGCCACTCACACGCGCTCGGGCACAGGGGCCCACGTTCGTGGGGAGGACAACCCGGTGTTTCCCTTAATCTGCGCCCCTGTCCCGCCATGGTGTCCCCTCACCGGGCTCTGGCCTGAGGTCTCAGGGTACTGAGGGCGAGGCGCGGGGATGTGGGGTTGTGTTGGGCTGTGTGTGCTCGAGCCCCGGTAGGGGGCCGAGAAAGTGTGTGTGCGTGTGAATGCGCGGGGCGTCCAGCTGTGGGTGCAGGTGTGTGCGTAGGAGCGTGTGGGGGGTGGGCGGGCACCTGTGGGAGCGGTTGGGGGAGTTGGGAAGGTGCTGGATGAGGTGGCGTGTGTACCTTGGGGTCTCTGATGATATTTGAGGCCAAGTGAGTTAGAGTCACTGTGTGGGTGTCTGTCTGTTCCAGCCCAGCGACACACCCCACCTTTACCTCCGGTACCCAGGACTGGCCTGTCCTCTGGTGCCCGTCTGTGATGCTCCCACATTTTTAACATTTGCTTTCTGATTGCACCACGGAGCCCCAGATGGGGTGAGGGTATGGCAGGCTGCAGGGTGACAGGGACCCTCTCTGCCTGTCGCCCAGTCCTGGGTGGAACCCCATGGTGCGCGTGGCTTCCTGAGCGTCCCTGTCCAGTCCCCCGAGGGACTGGCTGTGCGCCTTGTGGAGGACGTGTGTAGGTCCCCAGGGATGCCTGCGTGTGCTTATGAAGGCTGCTCGAGCATTTCTGTCAGGGAACCACACCCCCAAATCGAGCCTCCACTGAACTCCATCCCTGACCCTTTTAAATTTTTTTATTTTGTGACCAGGTCTTGCTAAGTCCCCGAGGCTGGGCTCAGATTGTGATCCTCCTGCCTCAGCCTCCCAGAGTGCTGGGAACATTTGTGGCTGTGCTGGGACACTGGTCTTACAAGGGTGCACTCGGGGCCTTACGAGGGCTACATGTCTATACTTTGGAAAAGCTTGTGAGCTTCTCCCCCGGGGGCATTTTGGTGACCACGTGGCAGGGGAGGTCAGCACCCTGCCATGCCCAGGACATCACCAACATGGGAAGCATCTCTGACCTATGGCTTCACCATGCCAGCCTCCCTCGGCCCTCGGAGGTGACTGTGGGGAACTGAGGGCTGTGCCAGGCTGTATAGTATTTCAGGATCATGAACTGGTCCTCTTCAGGTGGACAAGGTGGCTGCTTACCCGTTGGTGGCATTCCTGTGGTCAGCTGGTGGTCACGCCCTGCCTTGTGCACCTGTATCTGGGCCACCAGGTATTTACTGGTGCACCCACAGCCTCCAGGGACATTTCACAGAGGCCCAGACAGGCCAAACTGCGGGTACCCTCCTCAGTGTCGCCAGCAGACCCACGGTGTGCCCTTGGCATTGCTGGGAAGCGGTGGCTTCAGGCGTGGCAAATTGGGGCACTTGGGGGGTCTCTGGGGTTCCATGCAGGCTAGGAGAACAGGCTGAGGTCAACCCCAGCCTTTTAAATATCTGTGTATTTGTTTTTTGTTTGGTTTGGTTTTTTGTGACTAAAAACCCCAAAAAACCCACAACAGGTGCTGTAGCCCAACCCGGCCTTGCACTTGGTGGTGCCCCCTGCCTCAGTCTCCCAAGTGCTGGAGCCACGGGCCTGGGCCAGCATGCCCCATCTCTAGGTATTCCTGGGTGGCTTTGGTAAAATAGCGGCCCTGACATTCGGATCCCCAGGGGTGCCTCCGCGTGGGTCCTGTAGGGATCTAAATCTCCCCCCTCCCTGTCCCCTGCTGTGTAACAGGCTAAAACATTTTTTACTGAGGCTCTAGCCTGCTTTCCATGGAGCAGGGCACCGGTGGGGGCAGCTGGGGACAGGCGGGACCAGAACCCGGCACCCTCCTGAGGGGGCCGGCAGCCCTGACCCGAGGCTTCCTCCCGGCCTCAGTTTCCCTGGCTGGAAGCAGAGGGTACCAAGGCTGTGGATGAAGCCCATGTCCCCCCAGCGCAGGCCGCAGCCACGACTGGGTGGGAGGGCACCATGGTGCCCCGATGCCTGAGGGGGGAGCCAGAGGGGGTCAGGTTTTCTAAGAATGACCTGGTCAGCAGCGGTGTCCTGCCAAGTGATGTGTTCTTATGCGGGTGACCCCTCGCTGTGAGCACAGCTGGGCCACCTGGGGGAGACAGGAGCGGGCTGCTGGAGGTCACCAAGCAGGAGAACGAGCCGCTTCAGGAGCCCCAGGCCGGCTCGGCGGGCACACGCTGCGTCACACCAGCTCCCGGGAGGCTGAGGCAGGAGGGCGGCCCGGCCCAAGGCAGCCTGGGCCGTTTTACCAGGCCTTGTAAATGCAATCAGGGGCTGGAGGAAGTCCTCCTGGAGGAGCCCTGTGTGGCCTGCCTGGGAGGGCCCTGCCCTTCACTCCCCGCACCTCAAGGGGGGGGGGGGTCCGCAGGCCACACTGGCCCTCACCATAGCTGGGGGGCCCTGTCCCAGAGATGTGCGCGGTTTGGGGCTGGTGGCAGTGCGGGGCAGGAGGTGGAGAGGCCTTGCTGGGATTTACGTGGCCAGCTGCGGACTGGCCCGGCCCCTGGAACAGGGTCTTGGGGAGATGGCCGATAAGGTCGCCGGCACCCCCACTCCCGTCCCCAGCTCGTCTTTGGCGCCGCAGAGGAGGGGTGCCCTCTCTGGCCAGAGGGACTCGCTCTGTTCCCAAATCTCTGCGGCCGCACAGCTGCACGCCGTGGGTGGCTCCAGGGACTCACGGAGAAAGGGTCCCCTGAGCCCCGTCCCCGCGCCGTGCACCCCACCCTGCTCCACGCGCGCCCCCGGCACCCAGCCGCTCTACATCTTTAAGGGGAAAGGCGCGCGCTCCCGCCGCTGCGCACGGCACCGCCTGGCCTCCCCCCTCCCTCCCCTTGGCTCGGTCCTGCAACTTCCCGGCCAGCGCGGGGCGCAGGGGGGGGGGGTGCGCGCCTAAAATGCAGCCCGGCCCCTCCGGGTCCTGCCACAGCCCGGCCCCCCCGCACCGGCGGTGTCTCGGGTGGGACAGCTGCGGGGGGGGGCGTCCGGGGTCCACGCTGACCAGAGCTGGGTGGGTTTGGGGGGCGCAGACGGTGGCACGGGGCGCCGGGAGCGTTAGTCGGGTGCTGGGTTCCCGAGACTTGGGGTGGGTGCGGGTGGGGGGGACTTTCCTTCCTGCCTCGCGCTCTTTTTTTCTCTCTTTTCTTTGAAAGTTGGATCCCGCACAGTGGGAGGGGAGAGCGGTGGGGGAGGGGAGGGGAAGGGGGTGCAGGAGAGGAAGGGGGGACGACTGGAACCGGGGAGCTCTGGAGGCGCGCGCCGGAGCGAGGGAGGCGGAGGGGGAGGAGGGAGGGGAGGAGGGGGAGCGGGGGAGGGGAGGAGGGAGGGGAGGAGGGGGAGCGGGGGAGGGGAGGAGGGAGCGGGGGAGGGGAGGAGGGAGCCCGGAGGCGCGGGGGGGGGGGGCAGATGACTCAGTGAGTTCCGCCCGCCCGCTCCGGCCGCCCTGCGCCTCCCGCCGCGCCCGCCCGGGATGTATTCGTCCCCGCTGTGTCTGACCCAGGTACGCCCCCCGCCCGGCGCCCCCCGAAACCTCCCCGCCAAGGGCGCCCCCAGCCCCGGCTCCGCGCCCCTCCCCGAGGGCACCCCGAGTTTGGAAGCCGGACAAGGCGGGACCAAAAAGGCGCGCGTCCCTCCCGCTGCTTCCAGGCTGGGGGTCCGGGAGGATGGCGCGGGCCGGGGACCCCTCTTCCCCTCCAAGTCACGCGCGCATTCGGGGACCCCCTCCCCAGGAGGAGAGGCTCCGGCCCGGTGCACCCGCCCGAGCTCGGGACCGCTCCCCACGTCTGGTACGGGGGCCCTGGCTGCAATCTTGGCCTCTCCCCAACTTGGGGAGACCGGGGAGGGGGAGTCGCCCCGAAAGAGGCAAAGACAGGCTCCGCGCCGGGGAGCCGTCCGGGGGCTCCCCACCGAGCCCCTGCCCCGGCTGTCCCGAGAAGGGGACCCCTCCGGGCCGGCCCCCCGCCCGCGCCTCCCCCACTCGGCCCACGTGTGCGCAGGGGGAGGGGGCGCACGGGCTTGGAGGCGCAGAGCGGGGGGTGGGAGGTTGTGGGGGGCACTGGGGTCCCCGCGGCCCTGCTCCCCCAGCTCCCCAGCCCCGTCCGGTATTTTCGCCGCATCGATCGTGAATTATTGAGCCGCTGCGGCCGCGGCTTCGGCTCGGGGCGGGAGGCGCGGGGCGCCCGGCCTGGCGGGTCACTGCGGCGCTGCCAGCGCCACCTGCCCCCTCCCTGGCTCGCTGTCACCCTGGCGCGGCTCCCAGATGCCCGGGGCTGAGCCTCGGGCCGCTGGTGAGGGGGTGCGGGAGGGGGCCGGAACCCCCGACCCTGAGGGCCGCTCTGCGCTGCACCCCCGCCGCGCGGAGTCTGGGGGTTCCCGCCAGGGCTCCCCGGGTTACGGGCCAGCGCCCTGCACGCTGGAGAGCTCGGGGCGCAGGGATGAACCGCAGGTCCAGCCGGGGTGTGGGGGACATGGCCGTGTCGGACTGGGGTCGCCATGCCCATCCTGCAGCACCCCCATCCTGAGGACCCCGGGATTGGTGCAGAAGGGGGTGGGTCCCGGTGGGTCCCAGCCTGTCCTCCCCGAGCTCCCTGAGTGACCTTGGACAAGTCCAGGTACACCTCCAGGCCTCAGTTTCTCTTTCTGAGCAGCTTTGGGTAAAGGGGGTCCCCTGCAACAGCTGTCTCCCCGAAGCTCCCCCAAACAGCTGAGCTGGAGCTGGGCTTGCTGTGTGACCTTGGCCGGGCTTTGCCGTCCCTCTGCTGGCGAGGTGGCCTGACTGGTTTGGAGGCGCTGGGTCCCCTCTGACTGGAGGGGGCACTCGGGGAGGCTGGCCCGGCTGTGGTGCGGAATTCCCCGGTCGGGGCGGGGGACAGCACTGCGTCCATGTCGCTGCTGGGGGTGCCATGGGGGACCTGAGCCCCAGAGAACCTGGCCGCTGGGTCCCCCCAGGACCCCCTGGGGTGGGAACATAAAGGTGTCACCTCGCAGAACTCAAGGGACAGAGAGCCAGATGATGACACACAAGACAAATACAAAGGGCACGCAGCAGGCCGCGGTGCAGGTGGGGTCCCCACTGACCCCCAGGGGTCCTCTCTGCCCTCTTGTGCCGAGGACGCCTCTGAGGCTCCTCGGGTGCCCTGCAGCTTGCATTTGTCACCTGCAGGCCCAGCCTGCTGTGGGGTCCCAAAGGGGGCTGGAGGATCCCCCCACGCTGTGGGGACCCCCAAGGGCACCCCACCCCCACTGCGGCCCACCCGGCGGTCCCTTCTGGCCCAGCGGTCTCTGTGCCTCTCCGAGGCCTCCCTGCTCCCCCTTCCCTGGTCCCCTGGGCTCTGGGAGGGTCCCCGTGCGTCCGTCTGTCTGTCTGTCTGTCGGTGTCTCTGCAGCCGTGTCTCCCTCTCTGTCTCTCACTCGGCTAGTTTTACAACCCGGGGCCTCCCTAAAATAGCTCCTTTTTTAGCTGATCCGACCCGGATCCTCCGGGGAGCCCGCCCGACCTGCGGGGGGGCGGGGGCGGTGCCTGGTGCCAGCTCGCCCAGTGCCACCCGGGCCGCTGCGGCGGGCGCCCTGGAGGATTCTGGGAGCCCCGGCCAGGTCCGGCGGTGACTCAAGCCCGTTCGGGGAACCGCGCGGCCCGCACCCCGCCCTGGATCCCGCGGCCCCCCCCCCCCCCCCGCCACGTTACTGATTCCGGGTTCGGCCCGCGCTGGGCCTGGGCTGGGCCACCTCGGCGGCTCCTCCCGAGCTGGGCCACTCACCCCCCCCCCCCCCGGCCTCGCTCCCCGCGGCAGCCGCAGCTTTCAACCGCCAGGGGCCCGGCGGGGAAACTGAGGCAGGCCGTGGTGGGGTTTTTTCTTTTCCACCCCGACTTCCTCCAGATCGGGTGGAGCGCGGAGGAGGCTCCTCCCGTGGCCCCCTCTGGCAGCTGGCCTAGGGGAGGCTGAGGCAGCGGGGTGCAGGCCCGGCGTCGGGTTTTGGGGTGCACCCAGCATCCCAGGGCTGGACAAGGAGGGACGGGCTGTGAAGGGCGGCACGGCCCGGAGTTGGGGGCCGGGCAGGGCAGGTGGGGGCTCCCGACCCCGGGGCCCCCTCCTCCCTCTGCGTCTCCCCCCCCCATCCTGCACCTCCTGGCGCCCTGTAAATCACCAGGCTGCCGATCCGCAGACTCAGCGATATTCCGCGCTCTCCCTCCCTCTCCCCACGGAGATGGCAAAGGCCACCATGTCCCAGCTGGGCCGCTGCCCCCCCCCCCCGCCTCCAACCACCCCCGCCCCGACCTTGGGGTCCGCCCTGCCCACCAAGACACGTGCACGCATGCGCACACGCAGCCCCACCTCTCAGACCCCAGCGACCCTCGTGGGTCCCCGCGCCCAGTGAGGGCCGCAAGCCTGAGCCCCGGGGTGTCTTTCAGCTGCTCCCCTCTAGGCTGGGCAGCCTGGACTTACGGGGAGGTGGGGTGGCTCCGAGGCCCAGCAGGGCCTGGCGTTTAGTAGGTGCCCAGTAAATGTCCACTTCGTGAACGTGTGATTCTGTGGATCTGGAGGAAGGACTTAGGGCTCCCTTTGGTTCTGTTTCACCCCCACATAAAATCGGGACAGAGTCATGCTTTTCTCAGGTACCCTGCATTGGTGGCGTACCCGGCGTACTGTAGGTGCCTAATTAGTGCTACTGTTACGGTAGTTGTTGATAGACTAATAGTTACATGGAACATCTTTCCGGTGTTTTCCAACTTCATCCTGTCCCTGGCTTTGGGCTGGGTGTTCGCAGCCAGAAGATCCCAGTACACCCCTCTACCCAGCACTCGCGAGGCAGAGGCAGGAGGATCCCAAGTTTGAACCCAGCATAGGCCACTTAGGGATTTAGTGAGATTTTCTCTCAAAATCAAAATAAATAAATAGACAAAGGGCTGAGAGAAGCTCCGTTAGGAGGCCCGGGCTCAGTACCAAGTGTGCCCAAAACAAAAGGGGTGCTTCTTGCCCAGCCCTGTCTGGGCCTTCCTGAGTCTGATCAGAGCCGAGGTGGGGGACACTGGTAACTAACTGTAAGTTGGGGTGCAGGGCTGAGGGGGCACCGGCTTGTCTCTTGACAGGTCCAGATGCCGGAGATGTAGCAGTGGGTAAAAGATAAAACCCGTGCCATGCGAGGCTGTGAGTCTGGCCAGGACATAGAGCACCCCAAGCGAGAGAAGAAGGGGCCCCAGGGGAGCAGAAACCTAGGGCGACCTCCGCCAAGCCCAGGCCAGTGCCAGCGCTGTGGGAAACACCCTTCTCCTGTCACCACCCTGCACACTCTCTGCTCATGCAGTGCCAGACTGTGTGGCCTCAGGACCTTTGCACAGATTCTGTCCCTGGAAAAATCCTCACCTGAATTGTCAGCTTCCAGGACTTAATCCGGGTATCCCCTTCCACCAGAGACCTCCCTGGAGCAGTCAGTCCCCGCTAAGAAAGGCACCTCCTGGTCTCCTGGCCTCTGTAGTCCATTCAGAGCGTCTTGCTCAGCCATCGCATGGTATCAGGCAGTGGCAGATGCATTTGATGCCTACCCCAGGTAGGACCTGGTTGGAGATAGGGCCCAGGTTGCAGCCGCTTGGGTGGAGTCTGCACACAGCAGGGGCTCTGGATATTTGCTAAAGGACCAAAGGACCCCCTTCCTCACGGAGTGATGCTTTAGATGCACCTAGGTATGAATATGTGCTCTGCTGCTCCCCAGTTGTGTGACCTTGGGCAAGTTTTTTCTAGTGTGGAGAAGGGGTCATGGAAACTAGGTTTCCAAGGATGCATAGGAGTTTTACATAAGCAGAAGTGGGTTAGATGCTTACCAGGGACTGTTGAATCACTTACTTTGGGGACTGGGAAGGGTAGTTGCAGGTTCTGGTTTGCTTCCCTGGGCCATGGGAGGTACAAAGAGGGACCAGCTCTGGAGGACAATAGAGCAGGACTCAGCAATCCCTATTCTGTGTGGTCCAGGATTGGTTTAGGGTGAACCGGGGGGAGAGGAGAAAGGGGGTTTTAGAGAAAGGGCATTGAGAGATGTGTAGGAGTTCGGGACCATTCTTGGCAGCATGTCACCTTTGTCCAGTTCAGCCTGTGAGGACATTGGGAAAGAGGCGCTGGCTGTTGCAGGTTTTGTGGGACAAAAAATAGGAACAGGCTGTATGTGTCACCTAGTCTGACCTCCTAGGGGAAGATATAGGAGCAGGAGGCAGGTCCGTGGCCCAGTTACAGGCTGTTTGTCTCACTGCCTCCATGACCGACCCGCCAGGGTCACTGGTGACGTGGGTTCCCACCCCTGCCCGCCTCTCTGGCACCTTCTCAGGGAGGGAGAAGGACTTGGGGGAGGGGGAGGAACAGAGGGGGCGGGGCTTAAGTGTGGGCGTGGCCTTAAATGGGGGCGTGGCCGTGGGAGGGGGAGGCCGTCGCCCCGCCCCCCGATGCCCCTCCAGCGCCACCGATGTCCCCAGCGAGCCTGGGGCTGGGTGGCGGCCACCGCCCGCGTCACTGTGGTCCTGGCCTCCGGCCACCTGGCCCTCTGAGCAGTGACCCTGGCCGCTATCGACCGCAGCTGTCCCTCCCCCTGGGCAGCTCGGGCCAGGTGGTCTGGGCCGCCTTCCCATCTCTGCCCGGCCAGCAGCCGCGTGGCCGGGACAGTCACATCCAGGCCAGGGAAAGCGGCCAGGTGGGGATGGGAGGCCAGGTGGCACCTCCCTGAGCTCGGTCCGTGCCCGGCAGAGGGTGGCGCGGGGGGCCGGGGTGCAGTGCCCCTCAGCTGTCTGGGTGACTCACCCGCCCGTGCTGGTCTCAGTGGCGGGAGGCTATTTTCAGACCCTCGGTAAGAGGTGACCTCTGCTGGCCTTCCCCAGCACCCAGGGCTGGAGCTGGTGCGCCGCCCGGGATCTGGGGCGTCCCCTGGGTTTGCACCCAGCGAGCTCCATCCCAGGCCTTTTATTTTGAGGCAGGGTCTCGCTGAGCTGCTGAGCGGTGGGGGCTCGGCTGGAGCTTTGCAGCCCTCCTGCCTCAGCCTCCTGTCCTGTGGAATGACAGGTGTTGCCCGTGCCCTGCGGTCCTAGGTCTCGGCCTCATGCTGGTCCCGGAACCCTGTGGGAACCTTGACCAGATCTCAGCCCCTTTCTAAGCCTCCGTTTCTCCATTCTACGTGAGGTTGCAGAATTTTGGGGCTTTTCCTGTTTCCTGAAAAATCAAAAGCCAATAATCAAAATAACAAGATGCCAAAAGCACTAGAAAATCCGAGCATTGATGACCACACCTGTCATCCCAGCACTTGGGAGGCTGAGGCAGGAGGATCGCAGGTTCCAGCCCAGCCTGGGCAGTGCAACAAGCTCCCATCTCAAAATAACATACCGAAAGGCATAGAGGTGTGGCACAGCGGGGAGCACTTGCCTAGCATTTAGGGGGCGCTGGGTTCATCCCCAGCACCCCACACACAAAGTCGTAACTGTCACGGTGACGTGACGGATGGAGAGGAGGTCTTTTCACCCCTCTGTGTTTTTTCTCCTCAGATCTCTCCACTCCGTGGCTGAGAATCTGACTTTAATGATCTTTGGACTCAGTGTTCTTTGCTGGAAAATGGGGTGATCAAGAAGGGGCTCCCACACTGCTCTCCAGGGGCCCCAGGATGCTCTTGCCCCTAGTTCTGGGGACCTGCGCCTTGGTCTTTGTGCTGAACACCATTCCCAGCTCAGTTACTAAGTTCAAGTGGCCCAGGCTGGGCTTGAACTCACAAGGTCCTCCTGCCTCAGCCTCCCGAGTGCTGGGATGACAGGTGTGAGCCACCACGCCCCGCTGAGGCCCGCTGTTTGCACGGCCCTGCTCTACGCATCTGGGGAGGTTTGCACACTGCGCTGCAGGGTGAACCTGTGCATCTGCCTCTGTAAGTGAAGTTGTGCTGGGCTGTGGCCTCTGCCACCCCATTCTGTGGCTCGCAGTACAATGCAGAGTCGAATTCAGGCATGCTGAGGTGCACCTCAATCCCAGCACTCTGGGAGGCCGAGGCAGGAGGATTGCAAGTTTGAGAGCAACCTGGGCAACTTAGTAAGTTTTACAGACCGTGTCTCAAAAAAAACCAAAAAAGAATAGAAAGGGCTGGGGTGGCGCTTGCTGTGAAGGCCCGCGTTTGGTCCCTGGTATTTCAGAATAATAGAAAATGAAAAAAAGCAAAATCACTAGAGACAGAGCTCCGTGCAAAGGCCCTGGGGTCAGCCCCGGTCCTGGAAAAACCACAGAGCTGCCCAGCGCAGGCAGACGCTGCCACCTGGCCGGCTCTGGCCGCTGGTGGCCGCGCGTGCAGCCTGCTCTCTGGGACGCGCAGTGACCGTGGTCTGTCGCCCACAGGATGAGTTCCACCCCTTCATCGAGGCGCTTCTGCCGCACGTGCGCGCCTTCGCCTACACCTGGTTCAACCTGCAGGCGCGCAAGCGCAAGTACTTCAAGAAGCACGAGAAGCGCATGTCCAAGGACGAGGAGCGCGCCGTGAAGGACGAGCTGCTGGGCGAGAAGGCCGAGGTGAAGCAGAAGTGGGCATCGCGGCTGCTGGCCAAGCTGCGCAAGGACATCCGGCCGGAGTGCCGCGAGGACTTCGTTCTGGCCATCACGGGCAAGAAGGCGCCGGGCTGTGTGCTGTCCAACCCCGACCAGAAGGGCAAGATGCGGCGCATCGACTGCCTGCGCCAGGCCGACAAGGTGTGGCGGCTGGACCTGGTCATGGTCATCCTGTTCAAGGGCATCCCGCTCGAGAGCACGGACGGCGAGCGGCTGGTGAAGGCGGCACAGTGCGGGCACCCGGTGCTCTGCGTGCAGCCGCACCACATCGGGGTGGCGGTCAAGGAGCTGGACCTGTACCTGGCCTACTTCGTGCGAGAGCGAGGTGAGTGGGTGGAGGCGGTTGGGGGAGGGGAGGGGAGGAGCTGAGGGGTGGGAGGAGCTGAGGGATGAGGAGGAGCTGAGGGGTGGGGAGGAGCTGAGGGGATGAGGAGGAGCTGAGGGATGAGGAGGAGCTGAGGGGTGGGGAGGAGCTGAGGGGTGGGGAGGAGCTGAGGAGCTGAGGGGATGAGCAGGAGCTGAGGGGATGAGGAGGAGCTGAGGGGATGAGGAGGAGCTGAGGGATGAGGAGGAGCTGAGGGGTAGGGAGGAGCTGAGGGGTAGGGAGGAGCTGAGGGGTGCGGAGGAGCTGAGGGGATGAGGAGGAGCTGAGGGTGAGGAGGAGCTGAGGGAATGAGGAGGAGCTGAGGGATGAGGAGGAGCTGAGGGGTGGGGAGGAGCTGAGGGGTGGGGAGGAGCTGAGGGGTGGGGAGGAGCTGAGGGATGAGGAGGAGCTGAGGGGTAGGGAGGAGCTGAGGGGATGAGGAGGAGCTGAGGGATGAGGAGGAGCTGAGGGGTGGGGAGGAGCTGAGGGGTGGGGAGGAGCTGAGGGATGAGGAGGAGCTGAGGGGTAGGGAGGAGCTGAGGGGTGGGGAGGAGCTGAGGGGATGAGGAGGAGCTGAGGGATGAGGAGGAGCTGAGGGGTGGGGAGGAGCTGAGGAGCTGAGGGGATGAGCAGGAGCTGAGGGGATGAGGAGGAGCTGAGGGGATGAGGAGGAGCTGAGGGATGAGGAGGAGCTGAGGGGATGAGGAGGAGCTGAGGGGATGAGGAGAAGCTGAGGGGATGAGGAGGAGCTGAGGGGATGAGGAGGAGCTGAGAGCTGAGGAGGAGCTGAGGGGATGAGGAGGAGCTGAGGGGTCGGGAGGAGCTGAGGGATGAGGAGGAGCTGAGGGGATGAGCAGGAGCTGAGGGGATGAGCAGGAGCTGAGGGGATGAGGAGGAGCTGAGGGGATGAGGAGGAGCTGAGGGGATGAGGAGAAGCTGAGGGGATGAGGAGGAGCTGAGGGGATGAGGAGGAGCTGAGAGCTGAGGAGGAGCTGAGGGGATGAGGAGGAGCTGAGGGGTGGGGAGCAGCTGAGGGGATGAGGAGGAGCTGAGGGGATGAGGAGGAGCTGAGGGGATGCGCAGGAGCTGAGGGGATGAGCAGGAGCTGAGGGGATGAGGAGGAGCTGAGGGGATGAGGAGGAGCTGAGGGGATGAGGAGAAGCTGAGGGGATGAGGAGGAGCTGAGGGGATGAGGAGGAGCTGAGAGCTGAGGAGGAGCTGAGGGGATGAGGAGGAGCTGAGGGGTCGGGAGGAGCTGAGGGATGAGGAGGAGCTGAGGGGATGAGCAGGAGCTGAGGGGATGAGCAGGAGCTGAGGGGATGAGGAGAAGCTGAGGGGATGAGGAGGAGCTGAGGGGATGAGAAGGAGCCTTGGGGTGTGGAGGAGCTGAGGGATGAGGAGGAGCTGATGTTGAGGAGCACCTCTAATGAGGTGGGGAGCCCCCTGCAGGGCAGGAGGTGGGATGCTGGCCTATCGGATGCTTGTGGGGTCCACTCTGGCCAGCAGGTGACCGCTGCTGGGCTGAGGGCGGGTCCCGGCCTGGGGGTCTGAGCAGTGTGACAGGCGGCAGGTGTGCCCTGTGCTTCAGGCACTCTGTCCTGGTCACGGACAGGCACGGGGCAGGGACACCCTTCTTGGGCCTGCGGCAGGGCACAGTGCGGACGTGGACATGGGTGCCCCGCGGTGGGGGCAGTGGTGGCCGAGCGGCCCCCCTGCGTGCCTGGCAGTGCTGGTCGCAGAGCCCTCCATGGTGCTGGCACCTCCCCCCGGGCCTCAGTGTCCCTCTGGGGAATGCGGTGGCAGTGTGGGATCCCGGCTGCCACCCGGAGGCGTCCCTTCAGCAGGACAGAGCCAGGGTCACGCGCCGTGCCCGGGCAGTGCCCCCCCTTGGTTTCCCGTGCCTCAGTTTCCCCCTTGGTGCCATGGCCTCCGGGGGACAGGAGCGCGCTCAGGGCTCCTGTGTTGCGCGTGGTCACCCGGCCGTGACCTTCCTTGCTCGACCTTGACCCCGGTGTGTGCGCCTGCCCCCTCCCCGTCCCGCCCCCGCAGCGCGGCTGATAGAAGCGCGCGGTTCCTGCCGAGTCAGCACAATCGCGGCGCCGCCCGCCCGCAGGACCGCGACACCTTCCAGCAGCCCGGCCTCCTCCCGCAGGGAAGGTCAAGGCCGCTGCCGGCTCCCGGGCTCCCAGCCCGCCCCGCGGCCCCAGCGCCCATGCCCAGGCTCCCGGGCAGCAGACTCCTGGGTCCCCCCACCCCACTCGGTGACCTTCTCAGCCTTGTTTGCTGGTCTGTAAAATGGGAAGGTGGGAAGTGGCCTGCAGCGCTGTCACCCAGGGACTCGGGGAGGCTGAGGCAGGGGGTGGCAAGTTCTGAGCCCCGCTGGTGACTTCATGATTGACTGAACCCCTGTCTCAGCATGGAGGGGCCAGAGAGGAGACCTGGGGCTCCGTCCCCAGCAGGGGGAGGCAGGCAGGCCGGGTGCGGGGCGCACGCCGTCATGCCAGCTCTCAGGAGGCTGAGGCAGGAGGGTCCCGGCACATGGAGGCCAGCCTGGGCTGCAGAGTGAGAGCCCTTCTCACAGAAAGTCAAACCACAACCGAAAGCTGTGGAAGGGAGGGACGGAGGGCGGGAGGGACGGGGGGGAGCCCTGGCCTGCGTGCTGAGCCCAGGGTTCCTTTCCAGCTCTGAAAAACAAAACAAACAGCCCGTTGCTGTGGAACTGCCAGTAGGGCTCAGGTGACAGGGCCCACGGGGTCCTGGGCTCCTCTGCTCCGTGGTTCCCCGGGCCTGGAAACCCTTGTCCATACAGAAAGCTCCTACTTCTACATCAAAACCCCAAGTGCTAACTCTGTTTGTGCCAGGCAGTGTTTTTGAGGCATAGCAGTTGCTTTCCATTCGCACAGCAGCCTGCGGAGGCGGGAGCTGTGTTACCCCACTTTACAGAGCCCCAAGGCAGGGATCTGAGCTGAGGGTCCGGACGGTGGTGAATAGTAGCTGTCATCAACAGTGCAGCCGGGAGAGAAGCCAGACGCGCCGTCACCCCGACACTCTGGGGGGCTGAGGCAGGAGGATCACAAGTGGAAACCCAGCCTGCACAACTTAGACCTAACGAGACTCTGTCTCCAAATAAAAAAACCAAGGCCAGGATGGAGCGTAGTGGGGAGGCCTTGGGTTCAATTTCCAGTACTGAGGAAAGAAAAGACCTCATACCAGGCAGGCCAAGGAGAGGTGACTTTATTGTGGGGGCCTGGGACCACTCCAGGTGGGGCGCGGCCTTTGGAGAGGTGACTTTGCAGATGGGGCCTAAAGGACCCCAGGGAGCCATGGGAGAGAGTGAGGAGGGAGCCTGTGCCAGGCTGGGATGGGGGCACGGCCTGTGCAAAGGGCCTGGGGCTGCCTGAAGAGCCACGCTCAGAGCCACAGGAAGTGCAGGGTGTGGGGCCAGGAGAGGGTGAGCCCAGCGCTGCCCGCCCTGCCCGGCTTTGGGAAGCAGCCTGGGAAGCCAGGCTCAGGGCCTGCACCCCAGCAGGCCTCCCCGCCCCCTCTGGCAGCCGGAGAAACCCGACTCAGAGCGCGGGCGGGCGCCGTGCCAGGGTGGTGGGGGAGGGGCTGCCAAGCCCGCCTGCCCCGGCAGCTGCCAGGCCAGATGGTGCCCGTGTGCTGACGCCGCCACCCAGGCCCGCCTCCCCCTCCTGTTCCCGCCTCGGCTGTGCCAGCCGCCCACAGCCCAGTGCCCGCCATGGCCCAGCAGGCCCCCGAGGGCAGCGTCCCCCACCCGGGGACCTGGGCCACCGTGACCCCCGCACAGATCATGGCCGCAGTGAGCTTGGACCTCAGCCACACACAGCTATTTGTTTTTGCCCTGGTTCTGGGGACAGAACTCGGGGCCTCTCGTGAGCCAGACGGGCACTCGCCATTGAGCTGCACCCCCTCCACGTCGTGCACCCCGCTTCTGTCTCTCCACCGCCCTAGAGGGAAGAACTACTTTCTCCCAGGTTCCCCGAGGAATGGGAGGCCCAGAGATGGTCAGCTGCTTGCCTGAGGTCACACAGCGCTTAAGAGGCAGAGTTGGGATCAGGACCTAGATAGAGGTCTTTAAAGAGAAACCATCAGGAGGCTGAGGCAGGAGGGTCACGGGCGTGAGGCCAGCCAGGCAGCTTAACAAGTGATTTAACAAGACCCTGGCTCAAATTAACGATGGCTGAGGGCGTGGCCAGGGTGGGACATTCCTGAGGTCCAGTTCCAGGACCACAGAAAAGCACAGGAAAGCACAGGAACGGAATGGAACGGAATGGAGCACGCTCCCTCCAAGCCAAACCCCTCCCTGGGGCCCCTGGACGTGGGGTGGCCGCGCGGGAGTCAGGGGGCCTCCACCTCAGCCCTGTGACCTCCCCTGAGTGACCGTCGCTGGCCGGGCCTCAGATTCCCGCCGGGCGGGCGTGCTGGCTGCACCTGGGATCCCAGCGCTGGGAGGCTGAGGCGGGAGGGTCCCAAGTTCGAAACCAGCCTGGGCAGGTTCACAGTTGAGAGAGATCCAATCTCCAGACACAAAACAAGACAGAACACGAAAGCCTGGGAAATGCGGTTCCCTGGGAGGCCCTGGGTTCCATCCCCAGCACTACCATCAAACAGCCAATCAATCAGTTGGTCAACCAGCCAGTCCATTTCAGTCCGCTGTAATGGTGGGTCGGTGGGCGCTGTCATTGTCAGCCTGCTCCTCCTCCCGGACCCTCCCCTGCCCGCTGAGCTCCGCGGCAGCCCTGTTTAGTTTTTGAGACGGGCTTTAGCTAAGTTTCCTGGGCTGGGCTGGGCTGGGACTTGCCACCCTCCTGCCTCAGCTCCCGAGCACTAGGACGCAGGCCCAGCCTGTCCCTGGTTTTCAGCTGCCAGGGCAGAAGGGCGTCAGGGAATTAGGGTGACGGACACCCCTTCCCGCCCCGCCAGGCGTCCGGGGAGGGCGG